CTCTCTCTCTCTCTCTCTCTCTCTCTCTCTCTCTCTCTCTCTCTCTCGAGGTTGTTGAGGGGCAGATGGGTTTGATAGTTGAGCAGATCAGTCGATGGCCAACAGCTGTTGTGTCCAAGGCTAATATGGACGTTCAGTTCATAATATACATTATGCAACAAAGGAGCTTTTTCTCCAAGGACATCTCAACAGTCCCAGTCACCAGCCTCTGTCTCTGTTTTCTCAGATGACTGAATCTCAAGAATAGGTTGTCAGAGATTTGCTTTACTCACCTACATCAAGATATTCCAAGAGTTCAGCTAGTGATACTTTTGTCAAGTAGATTATGTACTGTAAACTTAAACAATCGTCTTGTCAATGTGTCTGTACTGTAATATAATGTATTTGTTTCCTCATCTCAATCAGGTGACATTGTCTTGTATGGAATGACAACCTCACACAGATATATTGAATCAAAACCAGCCGGTAAGTTGACACTCTGCAGTCAAAATGTATTCCGTATGTCACTCCAGCGTGTGTTGATTTACTCCTCTGTTTCCATCGTCTTGTCTTACAAATAAACATCAGCTCGGTTTGCTGACATGGAGTGGCAGACACCAGCTGTGTCAGAGAAGTTTCAAAGCCGCTTTGGCCACCGGCCGGGAACGGCAGACAGCGGGGACACTGGTCTTGGCACCTCGGCATCTGACAGCACAGAAGGTGATCACTTTGACTTGTTCTTCCCCTCCCTGCAGTATGTGTTGTGTAACGTTGTTTTGGAGACTGTGTCAGTGGAGGCCTAGTTTGTGCCATGCATGATAAAACCATGCATGGCCCGCAGACTCAACCACAACCCCTTATTTGTGCTGAGGCTGAAAAGACTCTCTTCATGTTTGTGTTTGTGATCCACTATAGTTGCTCGGGAGATTTTCAGAGGTAGATTAAAGTCCCAGCCATAAATGCTCCAAAGCTCTGCTGCAACACTCTGGAGTTATAGGCAATTGGGAGGATGGGGTGTTGGGATGACAGGACTGGACGGCTAAATGGAAACTGGACCTTGCCTGTGGTGTGAAATGTCCCATCTAGTCAACGTGTTTTTTTTTTTTTTGTTTTTTTTTAATATTGATTTCAAATGGGAATGTCCCGCTAGAGAGAAATTAAAATCTCACTGGAGATGGGGCGTACCTATCTCGGTACAATAATACATATGTACAATGTGTGGAAACAACAACATGCAGTATTGGAGAGGTTCCATGTAATAGCTGGGGTGGATGGTCCCTTGTGCAACAGCAATCACAAACTGAAAAAACATCTTCAGTACATCAACACTGTAGGGTTTGAACTTCACAAAGCTGGTATTTATGCTGCCAGTTGGAAACTATTCATAACTGCTAACAGGTCAAAGGTTTATTTTTATCAAGTTACATCTGTGTGTGTTGGCTTCCCAGAGGATGCAATGGAACATTTAACATGTACTGTCTTTTGCCAATTGTTAAACATTGTGGTGGAGATTATAATGGTATGGTGTTATATATATATATATATGGGTCCATTACTTCACTTTTGTACTCTCTGCATCTTTAAAATGCAAATGTAGAAATCCAAGTTTACGGACCAATAAATTTGGTCAACACACGTCTCTCACTCGTTTCCTCACGGTTTTGTTGTCGTCTGTTCTCTCACTCGTAGCTCTGCCGGTGGCTGAAGTCTCTGTCGCTTCATGCTTTTGTTCGTTTACAGTTTCTTTGTGAACTTCACAATAGTTGTGCAGAACAAACTAAGTATTGATAAGAGAAGGAAAGTCCTCCGTTCTGTGTACATCGCCCTCTTAAAAGAAGCCAACCGTGACTTCAAATGTCCGCTCCATAGGGCTGATGGTGCCGCTGGACACGCCGCTCTCTAATCACGGCAATAACGGCTTGCTTCTTCCTCATGTCGGCAGTAATGAAATTATAAAAACGGAAACGTAGTAGAGTGGATGTAGCCTAAACCTGTAAAGGGACGGTGTAGAGAACAGCTTCTAATGTCAGTTGACCCATTCCTAGGCGGGTGGAAGCAGCAGACAGAATTGTCCACTCAAACTCGGTGGAGTGGGCAGATTCAAAGGTCTGGAGCCAAGCAAGGTTGAAGCATCATCGAAGCAAATCGTGGGCCAGATCCTTATTAAATTCTAAACATCCATCAATTGTCAGGTGTGCATGCATTTTCTAATCCTGCACGTTTACGTGATGTGTTCTTTGGATACTTTACATTTATAGCTGTTTACTTCACCTGCCTTGTTTATTTACTGTTGAGCAGGCGTCTGGTGCTTGTACAGCTTCGTCCTGACGCTTGAGCCGACAGCCGTGCCTAGCAACATGACAATTAGCCCCACATTTAGCCACAATAATGACCTGTTGCATATACTACCGTATATAGCATACTTGGGACGTAAATCAAACAGCTTTACAATGCCAGGTGTTGTTTGTATAAATAAGAAGGCTCTTTGTTTGTTTTTGTTTTAGTTGCAGGGTATTTACAGCTGCAGGCTAATGGCAAGAATGTCTGTTCAGCAAATGTTCTTCCTACCGAACGGTTTCGACTTGTTCTAGCCGGTCCTGATGAATCAGTGGAGCCTGGAGGCTCTTTTTTAATATGTGAAGTTTTACCTTTCGTGAAAACTCGATCTTGTTTTCATAATATTTTTACCTCTTTACTTATTATTTTCTGCCCCACTAGGTTATTGACTTTGGATGTACACGTGTGTGTGATGTTACAGTGGGAGGAGGCAAGGTGCTTAAATAAGCGGCACCCACAGATCACTCTGTAACATGAGAGGGGGGGGGGGGGGGCTATAAATACCCCTAACCTTTCCTGTGTGCGCTTGTTTGTGTGTTTTGCTCACAACTCGGTTCGGCTGTTGGAGGACAATACACCTTTTGGGCAGGTGCCGCCTGCTGCGACGCCGTCAGACTTTGGCTTTTAGAGGTCGATTCGGTATCGTCCAGAAATGCACAGGACAGACTTTGGTTTTGATTTCAAGCGTTCTTCAGCTGAGCTCACCTCGGTTGAGCTGTAGAAAACATGCCACAGCCAATAACACGCTTGTTGCGTCCGAGTGAATGCAAGGTTTCCAGACTTCAACCGGTCTCTCGGGTTTGTAATGCGGTTCAAATCTGAGTTATGTAACTTTTGATGGTGCTGGGGCTTGTGGAGATGTTAGCTGTGTTTCTAAAGTTGAATGAAGACAGTTAACATTTTTGTGCATGCTTAATGGAGGGGATTGGGTGCATACTCTGAAGTCTTCTCTTTGTATGTTGTTGAGGGAGTTTATGCTACTTAAAAAGTTCTATTGCAAGAGTAGACATTGGATTATAATTGTTTTACATGTAAACTCGGATATGGCAACTAACACAAGCTTTTCAATGCTATATAGCAACATATGTTTATGTTAATCATGTGATACAGAGCTTTAGTTTAAGTCTATTATAAGCCTATTCCCTGGGTCCAGTCAGTCGGAGCCAGTTCATTCTTTCAGTGGTGACACCTCATCATTAAAGTAGGCCACCCATAAACCGGCTGCATCTACTTTACTTCACCGACTGAGAATAGAGGAACTAGCCCGCAGTAGTGTTCCAGATATTCTGCATTTCATTTAACACAGTCTGTCTGTGGATTGAGAAGTGAGGGATTATCTCTTAATGTGATTTCCAATGACTCCTTCTTCTTTTAAGATTTCTGCAGTTCCAGCAGCAGCAGCAGCCCCCCTTTCCAGCCCATCCGCAGTCAGATCCCCATACCCACTGCACATGTCATGCCATCCACGGCCGGAGCCCCGGCCTCTAAGCCTCCGTACTCGGTCCAGGAGGACTCCCTGTCCTCTGAGGGTCACCGGTCTTCCTCTGGCTCCAGAACCTCCACTTCAAAGTCTTCCTCTCTCTCCAAATCGGCGTCTTCGCCCAACCTGGACGCTCAGGCCGTCGTGGGAGCCGATCACGTGGGGCCAAAGCCAGACTGCCTGAGCCGGTACCTCAGCCTCGTCAATGGACTGGACCACTCGCTGTTCCCCTCGGATCACACGCGCATGGACGAGTGCCAGAGGTTTGACACTCCCGCCGTGGAGCCTACGCTAAACCAGTCGGCCCTGTTGGGGGGGCTGTGCCCCGACGTCAGACTCCGATTACAGACGACCGGGATTAGAGACGCCCCCGACTGTGTGTCTGAGGCCTACAGAGGAGGCATGGAGCACAGCTATAAGGTTCTGCCTGAAGCCAGGCCGGCAGAGGCCTCTAACCAGAGGGGCGGTCTGCCCGGTGCGGCCGGATCCGCCGGAGTTTATGCAAACCCTCTCAGCCTGCAGACACAGGCTCTGCTGAGGGAGCACGCCGGCTCCAAAGGTTACGAGCCACTGCGGCAGGACAGATGTGGTGACCTGTCCAGCTGGCAGCAACAACAGCAACATAAGCAGCAACTGGAGAGTTTACGCATGCAAGTGGAACAAATGCAGGTAAGCATTTATCCTACGAAGACAATAGTGTATGCTACACCAGGGGTAATGTAGAGGGGGTTTATTTTTATGTGTTTCATAACTTTCTCTGCTCTTTTTGGATCATAGTATCGAGGGCAGACATTAGTGTCACTTTTTACTGCTGCTGGGGGGCAAAACAAACTTGATGTTCTCTGAGGAAAACACTGATAATGTAAAGGCCATTGGAGTAGACATGTAGGGGAGTCGATTGTTTGTTGACATTGAAATCGTAAATATAGTTTCTGACACATGTATATTGGAAAAATAACGTTCCATTAAATAATGCCCGGAGCCATACAGACAGCTTGTCTTATTCTATGGCAGGACTTGTCCAGTCAATAAACACCACATTAACAAAGGAACACATGGTGTGTTGTCAGGTTTATTTTATTACGTGTTTAATTTAGGGAATCCTTTGCTTAATCAACACTAGACAGCTTGTCCCAGCTTCCCTCTGCAGCTTGTAAAAAGCTCTCGTAATGGTAACATTTCTTTGCACAACAGCTCTTTAACGTTGCAGCAGTGTTGCCCCACGACCTGCTGACCGAGGGCCACTCTGGAGTGACTTCCTCGTTCTGTGTGCCGACACATTCACTTTATCACTTTTACGCAATTTTAAAAAACTTTTTACGTATTTTGAAATACTGAGACTGGGCAGAATATTCAAACCTGAAATCCGATTCATAGAGGTTTTAATGGAATGAAGAAATTGTGGAACTTCTTGCAGGTTTAAGTCATGATGATCTTTCCACCAGAGCAGAGCTTTACGTATTTCTAGAGTTGTGTGTGTCAACACCTGTACTACATGCACTATACACTATCTATACTGTGCTGAGATAAGGTGTCAACAGCACACACACACGCAGTACATTTGTAAAGCTTTGCGTCTCATCAGCGCTCCGTGTTTTCTCCACACGATGCAGCTCTAACAGTCGCATGCTGTTTGTCCTTTTGTTCCAGCTCATGAGCTCTGGAGTGGGCCAGTACCCGTCGCTGTACTCGACGCCCGCTCACTCAGAGTCTGGCAAGTGGGATGCTCTGGTCAAAGCCAGTGAGAGTCTGCTGAAGGAGAAGGAGCTCATCATTGAGAGGCAAGTGTTTTTAGATGATTCCATTGCTCATGTGGGGACATTCTGGGGCTATCTGATAATAATGACATTTTTGATACACTTCATTTTGATTTGATACTGTGAAATTGCACAATTGAGTCCGTTTAAAGGATTTAATATAGTGGGAGAGAAATTTAGTGTTTGAATATTAGTTTGTCCGCTAAAGCCAGGGGCTATACGGTGCTTTTAAACATTGTTTTTCCGCAATATTGATGACTTTATTGTTTTTTTCTTGCATTGGCGATGGTTGGACCTGGTCGTGATGCAGACAAAAGCAGCACATGACCCAGATGGAGCAGCGCATGAGGGAAAGCGAGCTGCAGGTCCATGGAGCCCTGCTGGGTCGAGGAACGTCTTACGGGGATATGTGTATGCTGAGGCTACAGGTTAGTGACGGCACAAACCCCCTGTGTCACACCGCCATCATCCCGACAAACTATTTTACCCTCAAGAGCCTCAGAAACCTAACTGTTGCACTGCGGCTTCACAGGAGGCCCAGAGGGAGAACGTCTTCCTGAGGGCCCAGTTTACTGAGCGCACCGACTGCGTTGTCCTGGAGAAAGTGGAGGCGGAGCGCAGACTCGGGGCGGTTGAGGCCGAGACGCGCCGACTAACCGACAGCCTGAAGGAGACCTGCGAGAGACATGCGGAGGAGATGAGGAAACAGGAAGAGAGGGTTTGTGTGCTTGCCGAACAGATCTTCCTAACATGCAGTGTTGCAAGCGAGCGAAACACAAAGCAACACGAAGTGAATAAATGTCACGGAGGTGTTTTAAAATGGCAAAATATGTTTCTCTCTATTTTAAACTGCTTATAAGTCTCTGTGCTTTGTTAATGTTGTAACGCTGTAACATTCTGGTTCATATTCTGCCAAAAAAGTACCAAACGGCTGATATTTTAGGACAACATAGCAAAACGCTTCACTCCCCACATGATCTGAGACGCTATTGATGAATAGATGTTCACATACTCATCTTCTTAGAGAAAGAAGAAAGAAAGGAGCTGAAGTGGCTTCCTTTAGGCCAACATGTGACTGTTTGTAGCAGCAGTTTGTCATATGTTCTCCCCTTGAGTTATGAATGGGTTCAACATCGATTACTTGTTATTACAGCGTCCCGCTTACCGCTTTTGCCTCTTTGTGCAGATCCGCAGTCGAGACAAGCACATCAGCAACCTGAAGAAGAAGTGTCAAAAAGAGACGGAGCTGAAGAGAGAGAACCAGCAGCGTATTGAGACTCTGGAGCGCTACCTGGCTGACCTGCCCACCTTGGAGGATTACCAGAGTCAGAACAAGCAGGTCAGGACTTTTCTGCTTAAGTGTCATCTGTTCTTACTGGGCCGAGATGTGCAAATCATTAAACCTGGACATGTGTTTGGGTTTTTGTTTGTCAGCTTGTGGAGGCTGAACAGCAGGCAGCTCAGCTACAAGAGAGGGTACGAGAGTTGGAGGTTTGTCTGGAGACAACGCGCTCACAACTACGAGAAAAAGACACACAGCTGGACGATCAGAAACGCAGGGAGAGGGACCTGCTGACCACCATCACAGAGTATGTATACACACACACACACACAGTCCGACAGCAGTGCACCGTCCTCTCAGTGGGCATGTTAATTCAAGCGGTAATAACTTTTTATTTTGGTCTTCATCAGTATGCAGCAGCGGGTACAGCAGGGCCTGGAGGATGGAGCCAGATTGCCTTCCTTGGATATGGAGAAGCTCAGAGGAGAGAACAATATGTTGAGAGAGGAGCAGCAGAGACTCAAAAAGGTCCGTCACTAGGGGCTGTTCACAAATCCATTGTTCTCAATGTAGACGTGCGTTAGGCCCAAAAGTGAGAGCGATGTCGTCTGAGATGAAAATAGTTCCACTTTTGGAATCTGACGCGCACACATCATGTCATGTGACAAGGAACAACAATCACAACGTGCAGATATCTTTCTACCGTAAACATTGGTCAATGGGAAATATATGTAGGGGACGTTAATCATTTTATTACAGAGCTACCCAGAGCTTTACGATCCGTCCCACACACTCTTCTACTTGCTTTACCCTTTCCGAAAAGTGTCCTTTTCTAGTTGGTCCCGGGGATCTATTTGTCAATAATGTCATTGTGTTCCTTCTTGCATTACCTGTACAGACCTGTATAGCAGCCCCAAAATACCACAAGTACAACCAGTGAATTAGTTTCTGATTCTTCTCTTTGCAGGTCATTGAGAAGCAGCACAGAATGATGGAACAGCTTGGCTCCCAGATCCAGGTGTTTATCTCTAAAGGACTTGGGTGGTTCCTGTTCAGTTTATAGTCTCCATAGTCGATCTCTTAACATTTGTGATGTCTTTAATCGTCCGTGTCTGCAGACTTTGGAGGAGCAGATATCCCAGGAGGAGAGCAGCTCTCAGGCTCTCAGAGAAGACGTGTTGGCCAAAGAGCAGAATGTGTTGGAGCTCCACACAGCCATGAAGGAGGTGAGACAACAGATTGATTCAAAAACAGAAGCTCCCGTGTGTTAGTACGGTAGGCAGGAGAGCCGGTGAGTCCTTAATGACACTGTCCCTGGATAATGTTGTCCCTGATTGCTGCGTTTCAGCTGTCTGCCCAGAACCAGGAACTGATGGAGCAGAATCTGACACTGCAGGAGAAAATGAGCGATCCAGAAGAGAGGGGCACCGACCAGGCGTCATCTGCCCTGGAGCCCGCCGGGACTCTTCTCACCCAGGGGCTTCATGTAGAGATCGCGTCCTGCCTCAGTGACCTGCGCTCGCTGTGCAGCATTCTGACCCAGAGGGCTCAGGGACAAGATCCCAACCTCTCCCTGCTGCTCGGCCTCACATGTAAGCACTGCTTAAGTTGAACTTTTTCAACGTGATGATTTTGTTTTAGTCAGTGTTGTGAAATATTGAATTGTACAACATGAATCGGTCATGTTTTTTTGTTTTTTTCCAGCGCCTCCACCAGTGGCAGGGCAGGACGAGAACTGGATGAGTCCAGAGGTGCTGCAGAAGAAGCTGGTCGAAGCTCAACAACTCCGTCGGGATGTCGAGGAACTACGCAACGTAATACTGGACAGGTACGCGCAGGACATGGGAGAGAACTGCATTACCCAGTAGCCTTGCCAGCCAGGTGACGTAGGAAAACTTGCATCCGCCCCCGCTGCACCTCTGAAGCGTCTAAAACGGGCTCGTCTTTGATGACCGGTTACTGAATGTCAGAAAGAGGACTTAAAATGAGGACAGAGGAAAGCCCAAATGGTTTAGCTTCTACTTCTCTCGACTGACTGTACGTTGATTTTCCAGCCTGCCTGTAGCTCAGCACCCCCCCCCCCTCTCCCCCGGTGAGTTAATCTATTTCAGTCCAAGGGCTAACGGAAAATAACTTACCTCTAATACTTGATCCTTAAGCGTTGTGCGTGTGTTTTATTTTGTACCAATGATGACATGAATACTGTCAGTAACCAAACAGTCTTATCCGTTTGTTCCACTCTCGTGGATAACCATTTGTGTAGAAGTCCCGACGAATATAATTTATTTAAATCTGAATTTCCCTCTCGAGGGAGATTATCCAAGAAGTGGTTGACAATCAACTGGAACTTTTTTTTTTTTTTCTTTTTTTAAACCTGTGCTTTTAACTGAATCCACAAGTAGATGTTACTAATGTACCATTATTTAAAATGGTGAAGACTTGTAACAGAAGACTCTGCTGTGCGGTATAAGACTTGATACTGAAGAGGTTAATACCAAATCAGCTTCTCACACCAACGGGCCTACAACAGTTTGATTACCAAAGAAACTCTGGTCGACGCAGCGAGTCTGAGTGTTTGTGAACGCTTCTCTCTGCTGCGGGCCTCGTTCTGAATGAACACCAACATGTGCCTTTTTCTGTCACGTTTGCAACCGCGATGCTAGTTCATGTCAAGACGAACCACAAAGGGCTGCAGCTGACTCTTCCAATACGACCTTTTGTCTCAGCGTGTTAACCAGCGGGATAGTCCATACATTCCCTGACTCTGAATGTAGCAGACAAACTTTTGGGCGGAGGCCCCTACACTGTTTTTGTTCCCGGTAGATAAACAAAGTTAAAACTTGTCGAATCTGCTCCGTGTAGATGAATATATAACGTTACGGCTTACTGTACATTTCAGTTTGATAATGGCTGACTCGCATTTTGACAGAGTGGTTAAAGTGTTTGATAACTGTGTGACTGACAAACAGTATTAATCTTCAGTATTATTTATTTTCTATTGTTCGCATTGACAACTCTGTGAAAGCCTCTTAATGTGTCGCTGTAATAATATGCTTAAAAATGTTTGAGCTAACTTGTGTTGCGGTCCCATGAAGTGGCTTTTAGATTGTAAGTTCTTCCCCTGCTTTGATGTTTCATGTTGGACTCGATGTTGGGCCCGATGAGTGTAAAGATTGTCATCAGTCATTGAGGGAGGAACATGTTTTAATCCAATGTGATGGTGGTGGGAGGGGCTGGCTGGATCAGCCCTGAATCACATTGTACAGGATGGAGTTTTAAGCCATTTTAAATGAAGAAGAAAAAAAGGTGACACTTTACAGGAAGAGAAAGGGATTTTAATATAAATATATGCAACAACACACCCAGGGACAGACGAGCCATTTTTCATTTCATGGGACCTCTTTTTTTTTTTTTCTTTTTTTTTTTTTTTAAACGTGAGTAGCACAAGATTTATCTTTGGAAAGTCGGGCTCCGCATGCCTTAACATCTCAAATGTTTTGCAAAAGGGAAAAATATGTTTATATTTTCATACTTTTGTCCTTGTTTGTATTTGCATATTTTAGAAATAAAGATTTTCAACATTTCGTTTTGTTTTGAATTGAACTTGATTTTCATTTAGATATTTAAATACAGTATTTCCGTTCCTCCTGTAATAAGGGATCTTATTAGAGACCCAGTGAGACGGAAATCAGAGCTACTAGCATCTGTACTGTGACTGTTCCCCAGTGGAACAGAATGTTTGAGTGGTGTAAAGTTTCATGAGGGATTTAAATCAAATCCTTTGCATTTGATTGGTCTTAAAATGTATCTTGATACGGAGTTACAGAGGACTGTGGCTCCACACACACACCGCTTTAGTAAAAGCTGCCGATTGATGGATGGATATCACGATATTATTGGTTGTTTACTTATTTTGTTTTCCAGGAAGAGATGATTTAAATTAAAAAATACAAAGACTTTTTTTTTTGTAATTCTTTACCAATATAATGTTATGGTGCACAATATGACCGGGGATGTGATCTAAAAGGGCTAACAATGTATTTTTAATTTCATCCCAACTATAAACAGATTGCGTATCAGCCATGACGTGATCTGTCGATCCACATTTAGAGGCACAGCAATCCCTGTACTCGTGTTACGCAACATAAAAACAGTCCCAGTCAGGGGTCAGTTTCGGGGTATTTTGCATGCTGGCTCACTGTCACGACTTCTTGGAACACTTGAATAGTTCTGAGCCATCGTTAATGTGATTAGTAACACCTGTGCTTTTCTAATATGACGAGTCAAAAAGGACTGCTGTGAAGGAAACTGATACCAAACCTTTTTATAGGTTCATTTTATTGACTTCAGTCAGTGAATGGGGGGGGGGGTGTTGCCTCTTTCGCAGCAGCAGAGTAGCATTAGCTGTGAGTCCGCACGATTCGAGCGTCTGCCGGTCGTCATCGAAGCAGCACTGTGGGAACGCACTGATGATGTCATAACCAGGGAGTCCACCCCCTCTGTGACGCAGGACAACACAAACAACCTGTGTCACATGTCGTAAAGACGGAAGCTAACGGAAAGATACTTTGTCAGTTCCTCCTCACCTGTGTTCGTCCAGATGCTGTCGCAGGTGACCCATTGTTTCTGAGAAGCACATTTTCAGGATGTAAGTATGATTCCCGTCTTCTGATTTCACCTTCAGCGTGATGACGTCACGGGCAGATGAAGGCCGGTCGGGGCTGGATGTCTGCAGTCTAGTGACGGTAAACGACCAATGTGATATTCATTACATGGAGTGTAACTCAGCTGCGGTGTAAGGCATATAATTCAAAACATACTTGGTATTTGAGCCCCATCACAAGCTCAGGAATGCTGGCTGTCTGTGGTGACATGCCCTATATTTCAGACCAGTGCATACAGTAATCTCCACAGTCTTGACAATCAGCTGCTGTGGCCAAATCGGTATTCTAATCAGCCTTTACATCATGTAGTGTGTTCTTGGCTCTAGTAATTCCTTTAACCCTATAATCCCTGTTTTTACTTGGAACTTCTACACGATTGCAGAGATGGAAAATGATTTGAACACAGATTGACACCATCGTACAATATGTCTTGTATCTTACACTGAATGACTTATTAATAAACCCAAGATGCTTTACATTACCAAATGGAAATATTCTAAAACTGTGCAACATTTTGTAGTTTACTCCAAAACATCTTTAGAAACCTTGGCGTATCCTCTCGGTTTAGGCAACAAAACTGATGGTATATATCTTTTCATCAGTGTGCTTACATAATGTAAGACCACATTTTGAATACCTCTCTCGTATCACTTGCCGTGCCGGTGTGTCGACGAGGATCACCGAGTTGCTGCTCTGTGCATCAGACGAACCCTAGTGAAAGTAAGATAATGAGCATATACTGAGGTGAGTGGAGGTTCAGCACTAGCACAGACGGGCTTTTTCTTTCTGCTGAGAACACAAGACCTCTAGGTACAAACGCTTTTGGGAAGTAGGCATCCTTGGAATGAGGTGAGATCCTCCCTGCTTGCTGCTCACCTGCAGGACAGCCCTCAGTGAGTCCCTGACGTCAATCACACAAGCAGCCTTCACTACCACTTTTGGTAACCTGTTCAGGAACTGATCCGTGCTCAACTTCTTGCCTGTGGCCGGAAGAAAACATGAGAATTAAGAGTGAGGAAACTCCCCCTCAGGTCCGACTTTTCATTGTAGCGGTGTGATGTGTGCAGGACAGACCGGGTAATTGAGAGCTGACGGCATTCGATGATTCATCTTTCTCCCCACGAGTAGCCTGTCCTTTGCCGGGAAACTTATTCCAAGGAAGCCTGGAGATAAAATCCTGATCTCGCCTGTCAAGAACCTGCACAAAAAACGTTTTAAGAAGTAGCAAAGTCACACGTATGCACATCTGCTTACAGTAAAGTAGAAACAAACCTCAAAGGGCACACCATCTGGAAATCTTTCTTGAAGCTCAGATGGAAAATACCCGTCCATCAGCTCTTGCATGCACCGCTGCAAAGACCAAAGAAAGAGGATTTGATTTGAACCACAAAAGAATCCAGGTTAAAATATGAAATGATTTCCTGTGCTTACCTGTGTGCTGTGCTCCTGATAGGAGCGGAAAGGACCTTCAAACATGACGATGCCGTTGCGGTAGAGACCCAGTTGAATAGGATCCTTTCTTGCCAAATGTGCCCCTGTGGCTGTCGACTGTACAAAACACTCTCCCTCCCCTGCCAGGATGTTCAGCTCCCTGATCCTCTGCAGCGCCAGGTCAAAGTTCATGTAGAAGCTCCTGGCCACAGAGGCGTCTTTGCAGAGGAAAAGATACCCAACAAGTTATGTAGAAAGTACAGTGACGTTAAAGCTCGGTGCAAGGTAAGTGTTCAGCCTGTAAAGATGAGTGCAGATTGAGACGATACCTGGCTGCTCACTTTCAGCCGAGTCACTGCTCTCACCATCTCCCACCCAGATCAGACCATAGTCATTCAGAAAGCTCTGCAAGATAGGGATCGGCAGAATTCAGTATGATGTCATCACAATATTGATATAATGATGAAATGTTTTATTAAGTCAACTTACATCCATTTCAGACACTTGATCCTGCAGTTGTTGGCACCTTCTCTCAAGGTTGTCTCTTCCACTCGGCTCATGGGTACTCTCTAAATGCACACACAGCCACGATGTGGACACAATCTAACACTTTTATTTACAGATTCAGAGTACATCTAACTGAGGTCTGTAGATGTTACCTGATTCTTTGGGAAATCTCAGCTTTGCCTCCAACACTGAAATCCTTTTATCCTTTTGGAAGGAATTTAAAGTGACATGTTTGAAAGATGTCTGTTTTTACTGTTTAATGCTCATCTGGCGGAGGTGTGTGTTTTCACCTTGCGCTCAATCTCCTTTGCTTGGCTCCTCACGCTTTGCTCCAGCAGGCTGACCCGCTGCATCATGGCAGACATTAGCTCAAAGTCGCTCGGTGGAGCACCTAAATATCAGAGTCTTAAAGTACGTAAAAGCATCCTTTGCACTCTTCAAATGTATATCTTTTGATATGGTAAGCTAAAAGTTTGTTTGTTTAACAATAAATAAAATAAGATGTACTTTGCTTTGGAATAAAAAACATTGTATTAACTTATACCTTTCTTTGATGGGGCTTTTGACTTTGAAGTGGCGGCATCATTGGCTGCAGTGTGACGGGTCGGGGGAGGAGTTAGATCAGAGGATTCATCATCATCATCCTCAACCAACGCAGCCTGAAATTCTGAGGGAAGAAACATACAAATATGTGAGAGTCAAAAATCTGTTTGTCAGAGTAATGTGACAGTCAATGGTGGCATGTTTACTCTGGTGTATTTAAGTACAAATGTGTGGTACTTGCACAGCACATTACTTGAGTATTATCTTTATACTTCACTACATTTTACAGGGACATATTCTACTTTTTTAGTCCACTGTAACTATTTGACTTTACGTACAAACATATGAAGAACTAATATGATGATGTGATACAAATTAAACTATCCAACAGCTGAAACTATTATTTTATATAACTCACTTAGTCAATGACAGAAAATGAATGTAAGGAAGTCATTTTTCATCAAATGTACCAAAATATTTATGGTTCCAGCTTGTCAAATGTGAGGATTTAATTATTATTATTATTTGTTCACACATAGCAATGTGAAGGTATCACTGGGGGCTCTGGGTAAATGTGATGTGCATTTATATTTTCCAATGTTTTAAAAACCAAACAATAAGCTGACTAATGCCAGGAATAACTAGTTGCATGCTTTAACATAACACTGTTTAAAAAAAAATAGCTCCAACTACACCAGTAAAATGCTGCTAATGCATGAATAATGATAATCAGATTATATAATATATAATAGAATAGTCACTTACCTTCATACATTGTGATCATTTTTCTCTGATTTTACATCATTTTACTATGTATTTGTTACAGTATGTGCTTTAACTTGAGTATAAAATCGGTATGGTCCCTGTCAGTGCAGTATAGTGTCGTCATGTTTAGTATAATGCTGAACTAGAAACCTACCTTTTAACATGTTCCTCCTGATGGGCACCTTTTGTCTGCCCCTGCAGGTCAAACACAGTTGAATGCATCTGCTTCCTGTATGACTTCCTCACAGTTGAACACTAAAGTTAAGCAACACTGTGATGTGCCAGTAAACAACCTACCATTGCTCGTTCAGAGGGCCCTGCAGAGGAGTGCGCCTCGTTTTCTTCAGCATCGACAAAGGCGAGCTCATTTCACCTGAGACAGGATAGGTAGATAGATATTTAGGCTTCGGGGTTTTCTTATCTGGATCGAGAAAAGGCCTCTTCTCAGGGTTTTGTTTTGTTTGGAGTCCGTTGCCAGGGCGAGCAACAGACCTTGCAGACCGAGGTCTGTAGTTCCTGCTTCATCTGCAGGGGGTCGCTGATACCACCACTCATTGTCTCTCTCTCTCACACACACTTGTCATGCGTGTAAACTCTTATGTTGTGTTTTGATGAATTGTCTCGTGACTGTTTCTTTTGCATGAAACAAGCAACAACAAAAAGATGAAAAAATATATATTTTAATAGGACCAATTTATGAAATGAATAATGATGCAGTATGAGTTTTGTTATGCTTTAGACATATATTGATGTCCAAACTGTTATTGGCACTGAATGGCTGTGGTGCCATGGTCCTCCGGTCTGGTTGCTGTGGTCAGCCACTAGTCGGCCCGGTGCGGTGCAGCCATACTGTCCCGTTCAGCCGCGCTCGCTGTGGGGAGTGAGCGGGGCATTCAGAGGGGATGTTGAGGCCTGCCAGTCCCGGTGCACACCCGTCCTTAACCCGGGGCTACTAGGCTGGTCCGGGCTATGGCTGCACCTGTCGCACATTTCGACGACGGCTGGCCGCTTCTGGGTGATTTGAGCATGGTTTCAGACCGGACGCTGCTGCCGCACAAAGGCCGCGTAGCCGCCGCGGGGGAAGCCGCTCCACGGCTCCTCTTGGATGATGATGGCGGTATCCCCGAGCTACGAGACAGCGGCTTCTCCCCCGGGGAAACCACCGGCGCTTTCAGGTCCATGGAGGACCTGGTAAACGATTTTGACGAGAAGTTATCGGTGTGCTTCGGAAATTTTAACGCCAAAACGGACAGCATCGCTCCGGTGACTGTGATAACAGAGGACTCGCTGCTGGAGAAAGACGAGTGAGTTTGTTTTTGTTTCCGGCGGCCTGTACCGGAGGCTAGTCTTTATTTACATGATGACGCTTTAACTCACTGCTGCAGGTTGCATTTTCAAATGCATATAAAGGCATGTTATTGGCAATGGGACATTTCATTTCCTCGATCGATAACATTTTTTTTAGAAATGGTAAGGTGATGGTCTATTAGGATGTGCTGGGTTTATAGTGACAGCACTGCCCCCATCTATTGTCAAGCCATCAAAACTCATATGTCTGATTTACTATACTGTAATAACAGACTGGAAATATAAGCCACATGCAACCAAACAGGTGCACTGATATCGGCATACTATCGGTGTCTGGCCCTAAATTGCTTTTAAAAACAGATATTGGCCGATATGTGGACTGAAAAGTAATAGTTTTGTTTTTATTTAGTTGCTTATTTGAATTTGGTTGGTGATTTTTATGCTAGAATCACTTGTAGGACCATATGTGTAATTGTTTCAACTTGTTATCCTCATGAATATTGTTATTGCAAAACTATCCTACATGATGATTATTAGGAGCTGAAACGGTCAGATGATTAGTTGATTAGTTGATCATTCGGAAATTAATCTGCAACTATTTTGATCATGAATTGTCTGTAATTTATCAGAATAAAAGATGTTACATTTAAATATGATGATATTGTTTAAAAACTGCAAATAAGTACATAATATATATAAGTATAATAATTTCAATGACATTGAATGTGTTTAGTGAACAAACCGTGTGTGCACAGTGAAATAAACACTTTACAAACATGAAGCATTGTCACTGGCACTAGCTTTGGACTTCTATGATGCCTTCAAATGTCATCATTTACGGCATTTTAAACTTGATAAGCTCTGTTGAGGATTAAACATCCACATAAAAGCAGTTTAATCTGATTGTGATATTTCTGGATTTGATACCGAAAAGTGTTTAATGTGGTGTCTTAGTACAAACAGTCACTACCAGTGCCCTTAATTAAAATGTATGAAAAATTTAGTTTTCCGTACAGTGCCCTCATACTCTCATGGTTTTGATCCCAGTCATTTAATCCCCCCCTTCACACTAGATACTACATTTCCCATAATGCAGTTAAACAACGCCTTTTGTTATTCTTCCTCTGCCTGGTAAATGTCAAACTCCATGCCTCCCTTTCCTGAATTCTGACCGATATTTTCTCAGACTCAAGAAAGCTCTCTCCAGACTGTATTTACCGGCTGAGTAGTACTCACTTTGACAAGTAAACTGAATTTAAATAATCTCAGTATAATTTAGCATTTTGGACTAAAATGTTGTTCGTCCCTCCACAGACTCTGGAAGGTTTTGAGCGGTAACTATGGGCGCGTGATGCCGGTGGATTGGAAACAGTCTCGAACGTGCGCCCTCCACGTCCCCACATTCAACCTGGAGGAGAAACCCGTGAGTGACTTTACCCCTCCCGCCCCATCGCTGTCCCACTTTCCCTACATCCCCAGCCCCCGTCCCTCCCTCACCCCCCAAATCTCTTTTCCACTCATCTCACAAATCTCAAATATGCATTGTGCCAGGGTTTAGCGCTTTGATTAAATTCCCTCCCTCGGCCCTGTTCCTGGCCAGAGAAAGACTGATGTCACGGCGGAGCTGTCGGACGACGAGGAGCTGAGGGAGCAGCTGGACATGCACTCCATCATCGTCTCCTGCCTCGCAGAGGAGCCCCTCTTCACAGCAGAGCAGGTAAGTTACTGTTAGCCATCAGTCTCCAGTGTAGTTTATCCCAGACGCTGCCACACAGCGTCAAGCTTACGAATGAGCAGCTTAACGTAACTGAAATCCCTTCTAATAACTGATGCTTGTTGGGTTATTTATTTTGAGTGCTGCCTCTCTGATGTGTGTGCTGGTGCTCCGTGCAGGTCATCGAGGAGATAGAAGAGATGATGCAGGACTCTCCTGACACGGAGGCAGGGCCCAATCCCTCTCAGTCGGACCTGTCGATGCTCTCGCTGGACGTCCAGCGGGCCACCAGGAGCCCCAGCTACGAGTCCAGTGAGTGTCCACTGATCAGGAACCAATAAGCAGTAATATATCATCAAACATGCTCTTGTGATATGCTATCGGGACAAAAGTACCAGCACATCGCGGTGTTTTTGCCGTGCTGATTTCATTGCAGTGTCTCACAATCACTTGTGATTCATTGGTGTAGCTCCCATTGCCACGCCGTTGCACTGGGTGACACGTTCCTTTATTTCGATGAATCTCGGCGCTGTAGTTTATTTTGACTCTATCCCACTCACATCTTCCCACATCCATAAATACTCACCAGAGCACCTACATAGTCCACAACAAATATGATATTTACTTCTGTTTGTTTTCTAAAAACTACAGTACCCGGCCCTTTTAGGAAATTACTCACCTTTTTTTAAATTAAATATTCATGATCAGTGTTTGATGGTTTATGTTTTCAGGAATGAATGAGCTATTGGACTCATTGGTTTTGGTCTTTTTATGGGATTTGTTGATAATATGAACAATCTAAAAGAATGGCAGGCTTACCAATTTTCAAGTCAAGGAAAACACAAAAGTCAAATGTCCTGGAAAGTCTCGTCTTGTCCTGGAAAATGATATCAACATTTCCTATTTTCCAAGGAGAACTACAAGGCTATCTATCAGATAAAACGGTTATGTTCAGGATCATATTAACATTCAAACGGTAGTTTATGGAACGTGAGTATTTTGAACAGACTGCTATCTCGTGGAATCGCTGTGAACACACCCACAAAGTCACATGGTAACTCATGCAGGTTCCCACTTTAGTGCAGGAAATGTAAACATTAGCCACTGCTGGCTGGTAACTGTGCTAGTTTTTATCATTATGTTATTCTATGATCAGGTTGTCATCATTTCTAAGCACGTAAGAGATGATGTCATAGTAAAGTTATCGCCATAGACTGCACGTCTTTTCAATCAGACATCCACATAGAGGATCATATGATGCGACCCCTGTCTGTCATAGCAGCTAGAGCTTTACTGAAAATGACCTCAAGAAAAGAGTGTGAACCCTTATAATGTCATCTGTGTGTGTGTGTGTGTGCGGCCCAGGAGTGAGGACGCTGAGTGTTGCAGAGCTGAATGAAAGTCTGGAGGAGACTGAGACGAACATCAGGATGTTCTCAGAGGAGCTGGTGCAGCAGCTGGCTCTCAGGGACGAGCTGGACTTCGAGAAAGAGGTGAAGAACAGCTTCATCTCTGCGCTCATCGACGTGCAAAACCGACAGAAGGAGCACCGGGAGCTGCTGAAGAAGAAGAAGAAGCTTAAAGGCGGAGCTGGGACGTCGCAGGGCCACGCGGAGAAGACGCTCGGATCGGTGAGGGCTTTACTCTTTCACCTCTGGTCTCTTGATGAGATCATGTGATATCTTTAGGTTTTTCTTTTCCACGCTAGGCTTGCATTTCTCGCTGTGTTTGTTTTCCAACATGCTATATTCTCCAGAAATCGTTTCCCATCTTTGGTGAGCGCTCTCATCTCATGTTTCTCCGCTTTACTTCCTTCCTCCTCAGCGCTTCAGCATGGAGGGCATCTCCTCTGTCATTCAGAACAGCTTCCGGCACACTTTTGGAAGCGGGTGCAGTGACAGACAGGTTACTGTGTACTTCTCTCTCTGCTGCTGATCTTTATCTTCATGTTTTCTGCACTAAAAAATATACACATCCAAGACAGAGCCTTTATGTTCATATGTTCAAACCCACCTTTTTAGGCTGGCGTTTGAGTAACAACCCATGTCCTGGACCTGCTCTTAAAATGTATTCATTTTTTATTTATTTTTATTTTTATTTTTATTTTTTTTTCTCTGTGTATGTAATTTATTGACCATATGGTCACATTGTGTTTTTTATGCTTTTAAATTTCTGCTCTGTTAAAGCACTTTGTGATTTTTTTGTCTGTGAAAAGCGCTTTATAAATAAATTGTATTATTATTATTATTATTTATCTCAGCTGTCTTTCTCTCCCCCTGTCTCTCTCTCTGTTTTTTATGATGGCTTACAGTATTTGACCACAGTCATCCCTTATGAGAAAAAGGGACACCCTCCGTCGCTAGAGGACCTCCAGATCCTGACTAAGAGTGAGTCTCTTCATCTGCACCAGCAGTGCTTGTATTTCAGTGGCTGTGATTGATCCATTCACTCCTCCCCTTTCTGCTGTCTTGCAGTCCTACAAGCCATGAGAGACGACAGTGACAAGGTGCCCAGTCTCTTAACAGACTATATTCTCAAAGGTGAGCCTTTCTCTTCTTTTTGTTACGACACTATGGGCCGATATGGAAATGTAAAGTCACGATTATCCTGGCCAAAATAAGATTCACGTTGTTATACTGATGATCATCAATGCTTAAAGACACTTTAAACGGCACTAAAACATACTGGCATCACTTTACCTTTAATTTCGTTAAGATACAAATATTTTTATTGCACCACAGATCTTTTTGTAGTGAACATCCTTTTTTAGGAAATAACAAACAAACCATCTTAAATGAGGTAATCATAAATCATAAGGTCCATCTGCATAAATAGAGATGAACCAATTAAAGAATAGCAACATTGTGTGAGTCTGCTCTTTCTTACATGATAATTCCTGTGTTTTTAATACCTGGGCTCTATTTTTCACTTCTCTACCATGACAGCGGGTTAGACAGCTTTTTAAAGTCACTCACATGACAATATTCTCTATTATACCAATAATTTAACTTTACCACGATCATCTTATTGGGTGAGTGTTTTAGCGCATAGAGCATGTCCCTGCTCCACCCTGTAGAAGGTGGGGCTGTGATGTTTAGCAGTGTGTCTGCACCCTTCTGGTACTGCTGACGTAAAAGTTAAAGAACCACAACGGCTGTTTTGCAATTTACTTTGGATCATTAATTCTTCACTCTACCTTTTTCACATATTTATTCTAGTTGTTTGGATTTTGTTTCCTACATCTCAGTCAAGAGTTCCAGTCGATCGTGGAAGCTTCTTTAAACATGCTTTGTATCTCTGTCAAGCCAAGTTTGGCAAAGTTACATTTGCATTGCTTTTCTTTGCAGTTGAGAGCAGGAGCTACTTTGAAAGCAACTCATGTTGGTGTGTTGACGAACATTACAAAATGTCAAATTTGACAGTTGGCTGCCGTTAAGTATCACTTTTATATGTTTTTGTTGTTGGAGAAACAACAATCAAATATTAATAGTTTTAAAGTCACAACATACTCTATATCTGGTCTTTAAGACGTATTTGAACGCATCAACAAGAGAAGCTTTCAAAACAGTTGCTGTGTATAACTGCATCATACACTGCAGCAGTAAATACAATTGTACACAAAAAATGCCAACGTCAAGCAAGTCTGAACTGCAAATGGACTTCCACACTGTTCTGAAATCAGCTGGTCGAAGCAAACCAGCCTGATAATAACATTAAAATACTGTACTGTATGGTCCTTCAGGGCCTCTCGCTATCGTTCATCTCTTCTTCATGTCCCTCCTTTCACATGTGTTCTGTTTTCTCTACTTCTTATGATCTGACTTATCGCTGGCTAACCCTCACTAGCTCTGGTGTGAGCGATGGACAGAGAGGTTTGTTTCTCACGTGATGTGCACTGTCATGGTTGTTGCCGCTCACATTGGGAGAGCGCCCCCTCTCTACCACTGAACTGTAGTGCAGTCTGACCCTGATGTTCTCCTTTTCACTTCACACCACCTCTCTCTCTCTCCAACACGGTGACTGTTGATCCCTCGTTTAGTGTCAGGACTCACTGCCACACACACTAAGGCTCTATTTACCCTGCAGTTTACATTCACGACACAGTTTAATGCTCGTTAGTCATTAGCACTGTCTAATCTGCAACTCTTTAGCCTCACCCACCCTACTTCACACATTTGCCATCAGCAATAGCTGATGTGCTCACATTCAGACTTTCCTTTTGTTTTTCCTTTCTTTGTCTCCCACTTTGTAATGTATTCTGATCCTCTCATGCTGAAGCTTCATCCCTGGTAACTCGTATCTCTGCTAATATTCACCTCTACTGTTATTACAGTGCTTTGCCCAACGTAGACCAGAGGGACCATGGCAACAGGATGAAGAGGACTCATTGTATTGTTTGAAGACATGAAGCACACTTAATTTATTCTTGCATGTTTTCACCTCAAAATTATTTTTTTTTGTGTTCTCTTCTTCACTTAGCTGTATTTATTTTGTGTTGAGCGTTGTGATTTTGCAGACCCTGTGTGTTCCTGTGAATTTTGACCTTTTTTTTTCAGTGTTTTTCTTAATTTATTTTAATTATATAGGAAAAATACCCAGATAATATATCCCAACGTAGAGGCTGCACTGTTTGGGAACTGAGCTCTGCTTGTTGGTTAAAAGATCCGAGCTACAATGCAAAGGGCTTTGTATTGATCTGTGGTTCTTAACTATGAGCAGTGAACAAATGCACAAAGCACGTTGAAGTTGCAGTAACAGAGAATTATAAGAAGAGCGTTTGAAGCAGCAAAACTGTAAAGTATAAGCAGTAAAGTAAAGTTGTAATGATCCCCAGGAGGAAACCAATAAGTATAACAGCAGCGCATGAGACGGGTCAGAGGGAAGGAACAGGATACAGATGCATCGACGATAGTGTAATAATAGCAAATACATTTGTTAGTTAAATTAAACCAGTTTGCATAAACATAATGTAAAACCATCATATAAGCAGAGCCTTCCATGTAGCAGCAGAACATTACACACGTCATCATTATTATTCTATGGAAGATAAAGTGTTGATGGTCAGAGTGAAGTAGCTAGGACTGAAATGAATTAACTAACTAACTATGCATTCGAGTGAATACTGAATTGTGACACATGCACTGTTTGTACTTTCGTGACGCTGACTGGATCTCTGAATCAGAGACTCGAGCGTCGACGTGCCTGCTGCGCACGGGGCAGCTTGTTATTCTGTATGTATCCTTGTATATGTGCAAACTGCCTTCGCCTGAATTTTTGTACGTTATAAATGACTTATTTTCAATGAGTGTGAAATTGCTGGACTACTTGCAGAAACCTGCTCCATTGTTAATTTATTTTGTAAATATTTTCTTTCAAATATATTGATAGAAATCGCACCTTTGTCTCGATGTACTTCATTTATTTCATAATAGACATGCAAACAATAAACACACGGAAATGAGGAATCAAAGCCTTGTAACAGAAATATTAATAACATGCAAGACAAATCATTATATAGTAGTATGAAGTGAAAAATCTGGAGGGAAAATAAAGCCCTATTCTAGAGATGTATACAGTTTCTTTGTATTGACAAAATGTAATACACAAAGAATTCAGGTAACCATTAGCAGCACATACATATAGTATAATACACACACAAATAATAGAAGATATGATTAAAGGACATTACAAAAACAAACAAAAAACAAAGGACCCTGTGTGTGTGTGTGTATATATATATATATATATATATATATATATA